AACCATTTATGAAATTAATGGCCTGATTACTTCAAGTCCGGTGCAAAAACATATGATCGCACCGGCCCGTCCGATGCGTTTCAGTCTGCGTTTAAATTCATATACAGACAGATAACATCCCAGAATTTCAGCTTTCTGTCCCATCTGATTCTAGAGTTTGAGAAACACCTGTAAAAGATTTTACGTTTTTCTATGTGAATGTAAGCGAAAGTGATAGCTGAAGTTAAAACCCTCGGAGTACGAGCAGGAAGTATTGTCCTGAAATTTCAACTTTTCCCCAAAACATTCATGTTGCACGTATGCGGGATTAGACGTACATAAAGGAACTTGAGCATGCAGCATTCTCCTAAAATTTCGGCTTTCTAACTTCTTTGGCCCATGAGATTGCAATTTTTCCGCCAAAAATTTCCACGTAAACACACATGAGATGCATGAAAAAGCTGAAATTGAAGTATTTGGACTACACGTGAATGTAGAAAATCCCCCCAAAAATGAAAAAGCTGAAATTGAAGTATTTGGACTACACGTGAATGTAGAAAATCCCCCCAAAAATTTCAGTCTCCTGTCTTTTCTGATTTCTAACCGGATGATTTTCGCTCAAAATCTTTGCTCCTCATTCGTATTTGAGAGTCAAATGTACTTGGAAGCTGAAAACGAAATAACGAAATATTTGGGTTAGGGGTCGACAGTGAACGTCCTTTTAGGATCTGAGCTTTCTAACTTTCTTGTTCCCAGTTAGCGATTTTCGTGTTTAAAATTCCACTTGTCCGTTTGAAAGCGGAATTTAAGTTTCCAAGGTCGCACACGGGCACGGGACATCCTCCTAAAATTTCGTCTTCATAATTCTTCTGGTTCTTGAGACAAAAGCCCGAGCAAAACATACCGAAACACACAAGTATATACACAGACAAGACCGCGACAGTATGCATTTTATGCTACTATTACACAGCACAAAATGCATAAATGTGCATAGCAGCAGGTAGGAAAGGCAAGGGATTGATTGTTCAAAAAGGAAGCAGTACGAAAATGAAAT